ACAAAAGGATTGAAATAATACCCTGTATTCTATCTGACCACCATGAACTAAAGCTGTACCTCAACAACAATGGAATTAGAAGAAAGCCTACAAACACATGGAAACTGAACAACTTGCTGCTCAATGACAGCTGGGTTAAGGAAGAAATAAAGAAAGAAATTAAAGACTTCCTAGAAATCAATGAAAATGAAGGTACAACATACCCTAAGTTATGGGACACAATGAAAGCAGTGCTCAAAGGAAAATTCATAGCACTAAGTGCCTTCAAGAAGAAATTTGTGACATCTCATACAAGCAACTTAATGGCCCAACTGAAAGTCCTAAAAAAAAAAAGAAAAAGAAAAAGAAAAAGAAAAGAAACAAATACATCTAAGAGGAGCAGACGGCTGGAAATAATCAAACTCAGGGTTGAAATCAATCAATTAGAAACAACAACAACAAAAAACTATTCAAAGAATCAATGAAACCAAGAGCTGGTTCTTTGAGAAAATCAACAAGATAGACAAACCTTTAGCCAAACTAACTAAAAGGCAGAGAGAAACTATCCAAATCAGCAAAATCAGAAATGAAAAGGGGGACATAACTACAGGCAGTGAGGAAATCCAAACAATCATTAGGTCGTACTACAAAAGCTTATATGCCACAAAATTCGAAAATCTAAAAGTATTGGACAATTTTCTAGGGAATTTCCATCTACCAAAATTAAGTCAAGATCAGGTAGAAAAATTGAATAGTCCTATATGTCCCAAGGAAATAGAAAGTGTCATCAACAGTCTCCCTTCCAAAAAAAGCCCTGGGCCAGATGGATTCAATGCAGAATTCTACTAGACCTTCAATGAAGTGCTAACTCAAATTCTTTCCAAACTATTCTACAAAATAGAAACAGAAGGAACATTACCAAACTAATTCAATGAAGCCACAGTCACCTTGATACCTAAACCACACAAAGACCCAATGGAGGAATGGATACAGAAATCGTTGAATTTTTACACAATGGAATACTACTAAGAAATCAAAAATGAGGAAATCATGGAATTTGCAGGCAAATGGTGGCATCTAGAAAAGATCATTCTGAGTGAGGTATCCCAGAAGGAGAAAGACACACATGGTATATACTCACTCATATAGTCCTATAAGATATGATAAACATAATGAAATCTATACACCTAAAGAAGATATACAAGAAAGAGGACCGAGGGTAAGATGATCAATCCTCACGTAAAAAGATAAATTGGAGTTGCATTGGACATAGGAGAAAACAAGTAACTGGACAGGAGCCTAAGGCAGAGGGCCCCTGAAAGACTCTACCTACCAGTGTATCAAAGCAGATACTAAGACTCATAACCAAATCTTCGGCAGAGTGCAGGGAATCATATGAATGAAAGGAGGGTTAGTATGACATGGAAAGGATAGGAGCTCCCAAGGACCAAACATATCTGGGCACAGGGGTCTTTTCTGAGTCTGACACTCCACCAAGAACCATGTATGGATATAACCTAGAACCTCTGCTCGGATGTAGCCTGTGGTAGCTCAGTAACCAATTGTTTTCCCACAGTAAGGGGAACAGGGACTATTTCTGACAGGAACTCAATGGCAGTCTCTTTGACCTCCCCACCCCCCAAGGGAGGAGCAGTCCTGCTAGGCCACAGAGTAGGACTTTGCATTCAGTCCTGAAGATACCTGATAAAACAGGATCAGATGAAAGGGGAGGAGGTCCTCACCAATCAGTTGATTGGAAAGGGGCAGGGAGGAGATGAGGTAGGGACGGAGGGTTTTGGAATGAATGAGGGAGACAGATACAGCTGGGACACAGAGTTAATAATATGTAACTAATAATAAAGAAAAAAGAAGTTAAACAGCAACAAATCAAGTAATCCAATTAAAAATGGGGAACAGAGCTAAACAGAGAATTATCAATAGAGGAACTTCGGATGTCAGAGGAACACTTAAAGATATGCTCATGATAACATCTTTAGTTATCATGAAAATGCAAATCAAAATGACCCTGAGATTTCACCTTACACCCATAATAATGGGTAAGCTAAAAAACTCCAATGACAACACATGCTGTAGAGGATGTGGAGAAAAAAGAATCCTACTCCATTGCTGGTGAGAATGTACAACCACATTGGAAATCAATCTGGCACTTTCTCAGATAATTAGGAATAGTGCTACCTCAAGGTCCAGCTATACCACTCCTAGGCATATATCCAAAGGATGTTCAAGTGTACAACAAGGACGTTTGTTCAATCATGTTTATAGCAGCTTTATTTGTAATAGACAGAAGCTGAAAACAACCCAGATGTCCCTCAGTTGAGGAATGGATACAGAAAGTGTGGTACATTTACACAATGGAATACTACTCAGCAATTAAAAAACAAAGAAATAATGAAATTTGTAGGTAAATGGTGGGAACTAAAAATGATCATCCTGAGTGAGGTATCCCAGACACAGAAAGACTCATATGGTATATACTCACTTATAGGCATATATTAAACATATTATAATCATACTAAAACCTGTACACCTAAATAAGCTAATCAAGAAGGAGGACCCTGGGTAAGATGCTCAATCTTCATTCAGAAATGCAAATGAGATAGACATTGGAAGGGAGAGAAAACATGGAACAGGACAGGAGCCTATCACAGACAGCCTCTGAAAGACTCTACTCAGCAGGGTAATAAAACATATGCTGAGATTCATAGCCAAACATTTTGCAGAGTGCAGGGTATCTTATGAAAGAAGGGAGAGATAGAAATACCTGGAGTGAACAGGAGCTCCACAAGGAGAGCAAGAGAACAAAAAAATCTGGGCCCAGATGTCTTTTCTGAGAGTGATACTCCAAACAAAGACCATGCATGGAGATATCTCAGAACCCCCGCACATAAGTGGACCAAGGCAGCTCAGTGTCCAAGAGGGTTTCCCAATAATCAGAACAGGGACCTTCTCTGACATAAACTCATGGATTGGCCCTTTGATCACCTCCACCTGAGGGGGAAGTATTCTTACCAGGCCACAGAGGAAAATAAAGAAGCCAGTCATGATGAGACCTGATATACTAGGGTCAGATGGAAGGGGAAGAGGACCTCCCCTATCATTGGATGGGGAAGGGGCATAGGAGAAGAGGAGGGAGGGAGAGTTGGATTGGGAAGGGATGGTGGAGGGGGCTATAGCTGGGATACAAAGTGAATAAACTGTAATTAATAGAAATAAAAATAAATTAAAAATAAAAACAAATAAACAAAAGGAGAAAGTATATTTTATTAGATATTAGGATGGCTACTCCAGCTTGCTTCTTGGGTCTGTTTGCTTGGAAAAGCTTTTTCCAGCCCTTTACTCTGAGGTAGTGACTATCTTGGTTGCACAGGTGTGTTTCTTGAATGCAGAAGAATGTTAGATCTTGTTTCTGCAACCATTCTGTTACTCTGTGTCTTTTTATTGGAGACTTGAGACCATTGATATTAATAGATATTAATGACCAATGATTGTTAGTTCCTTTTATTGTGAAGTTGGTGGTGACTATGTTTGTGCTTGTTTTCTTTTGCATTTTTGTTTTAATGGTGTCTTTATTCTGTGTTTTCTTGGGTGTAAGTGATCTCGTTGGATTGGAGTTTTCAAACCTTCTAGTATCTTCTCTAGGGCTGGATTGCTGAGTAAATACTGTTTAAATTTATTTATGTCATGGAATATTTTGTTTTCTCCATCAGTGTTGATTGAAAGTTTTGCTGGGTATAGTAGTCTGGGTTGACATCTGTGATCTTTTAGTGTCTGCATAATATCTGCCCAGGAACTTCTGGTTTCATAGTTTCCATTGAGAAATCTGGTGTGATTCTGGTAAGTCTACCTTTATATGTTACTTGGCCTTTTTCTCTTGCCACTTTTAATATTTTTTTCTGTTTTGTAGAATTATTGTTTTGATTATCATGTGGTAGGAGGATTTTCTTTTCTGTTCTAATCGATTTTGTGTTCTGTAGGTCTCTTGTATGTTTAAGGGCATCTCTTTCTTTAGGTTGGAGAAATTTTCCGCTATTATTCTTTTTATTTTATTTTTTTCTGCTATGATTTTCTCAAAAATATTTTCTGGGCTTTGGACGCTGGAATCTTCTTTTTCGTCTATTCCTATTATTCTTAGGTTTTGTCTTTTCATGGTGTCCTTGATTTCTTGGATGTTTTGTGTTTGGAAATTTTCCGATTTTATTTTTTCTTTGAGAGATGTATCAATTTCTGCAATTTTATCTTCAGCGCCTGAGATTCTCTCTTCTTTCTCTTGTATTCTGTTGGTAATGCTTACCTTTGTGGCTCCTGACCTCTTCTCTAAGTTCTTCCTGAATGATGGTCATTCTTTAAATTTCTTTGTTCAGAGGAAAATACCTCCAATAAATTATTTGAAAAAATATTAGATATTATTTTCAGAAAACCTGAAGTGAAACATTCTCACATATATACAGCCTTCTGCCATTCCCTAAGAAAGTATAAATAACATCTAATACAGGAAGCTAACTCTTACTTCTTAATGTCTGGGTGATGCATGGATGTCTTTACAGCAGAACCATCCCTTTTATCTGGGTCCAGAAAGCAAAGAAGAAAACAAATTTATGTTACCTTTCTCTCCATCACATACTTAACTTGATTGTGGCAGTAAACATTGTCCTTATTTTGAAAAGAAAAGGACACTACAGTCATTATATACAGTGCTTCAAAAATCCTACCCTGCAGATAAATGGAGGCACTTTTTTTGTAAGCAAAGAAAATCCTGAATCAGCCACTAACATCACGAGAAAACCTATTACCCATTGATCCTTATGGTCCTAGAACCTTCTTTGCAGAGTTCTTCTTTTTCTATTTTATACTTTATCATATCTAAATTAGTTATTAAAGGACATATCTTTCATCTATATAGTTTTTTCTGCTTTGGCAACTGTATAATCAAAATTAGTGTTAAATATGTATATACATACACATACACATGCATACTTAAAAGACAAAAATTACACAGTTGTGTGCTTGCTGTGGCAGCACATGTACTAAAAAGGAAAATACATAGAAGATTAGCATGGCCCCTGTGCAAGAATGACATGCAAATTCGTGATGTGTTCCATAGGTTTTACATATAATGGCAAACCCATCAGAATCACACCTGACTTGTCAACAGAGACTATGAAAGCCAGGAGGGCCTGGACTGATGTCATATCATGCAGACCTTAAGAGAACACAGATGTCAGCCTAGGCACCTATACCCAGCAAAACTCTCAGTTTTCATAGACAGAGAAAACAAGATATTCAATGACAAAAACAAATTTCAAGAATACCTACACACAAAACCAGTGTTACAGAAGATACTAAAAGGAAAATACAACCCAAGAAAACTAACTACTTTCAAGAAAACACAGGAAATAAATAACCTCACTACAGCAAAACAAAAAGTAACCAAGCACACAAACAAACTACCAGAGCCAATATCAAAATCAAAGGATCTAACAGCCAGTGGTCTTTAATCTCTCTCAACATCAATGGACTCAATTCTCCAATAAAAAGACAGAGACTAACAGAATGGATGTGTAAACAAGACCCAAAACCTGTTGCATACAAGAAACACACCTAAGTCACAAACATAGATATTACCTGAACCTAAAAGGCTAGAAGATGGTTTTCCAAGCAAATGGACACAAGAAGCAAACAGGAGAAGCCATTCTAATATCTGATAAAATAGACTTTGAACTAAAGTTAATCAAAAGGGATGGAGAAGGACAATTCATACTCATCAACGGAAAATTCCACCAAGAAGAGATCACAATTCTGAACATCTATGCCCCAAATACGAGAGTACCCACATTTGTAAAAGAAACATTAATAAAACTTAAACCACACCATAGGTCCCCACACATTTATAGTGGGAGATTTCAACACCCCACTGTTTACAAAGGACAGGTCAACAAAACAGAAATTATACAAAGATACAATAACTCTAACAGAGGTCATGAATCAAATTGGCCTAACACACATCTACAGAACCTTTTACCCAAACACAAAAAAATTTACCTTCTTCTCAGCACCTCATGGAACCTTCTCCAAAACAGATCATATACTTGGTCAAAAAGCAAACCTCAACAGATACAAGAAGATTGAAATAATCCCTTGTATCCTATCTGACCACCGTAAACTAAAGCTGGACCTCAGCAACAGAAAGAGCAAAAAGCCTACACACATATGGAAACTGTACAACTTGCTTCTAAATGACAGCTGGGTCAGAGAAGAAATAAAGAAAGAAATTAAAGACTTCCTAGAAATCAAAGAACAGGAAGGCACAACATACTCAAACTTATGTGTCACAATGAAAGCAGTGCTAAGAAGAAAGTTCATAGCTCTATGTGCCTTCAAGAAAAAAATTTAAAACATCTCATTCAAGCAACTTAATGGCTCACATAAAAGCCCTAGAAAAAAGGAAACAGACACACCAAAGAGGAGTACACAGATGGAAATAATCAAACTCAGGGATGCAATCAACAAATTAGAAACAAATAAAACAATTCAAAGAATCAAAGAAACCAGGAGCTGGTTCTTTGAGAAAATCAATAAGATAGACAAACCCTTTGCCAAACTAACGAAAAGGTAAAGAGACACCATCCAAATCAACAAAATCAGAAAAGAGAAGAGGAACATAACGACAGACACTGAAGAAATCCAAATAATCATTAGGCCTTACTTCAAAAGCCTATATTAACACAAAATTTGAAAATCTAAATAAAATGGACAATTTTCTTGATTGATTCGGCTTACCAAAGTTGAATCAAGAACAGGTAAATCAGTTAAATAGTCCTACATCCCCTAAGGAAATAGAAGTTGTCATCAAAAGTCTCCCATCCAAAAAAAAAAAAAAAAAAAAAAAAAAATCCCAGGGCCACATGATTTCAGCTCAGAATTCTACCAGACCTTCAAAGAAGAGCAAACACGAATACTCTTCAAACTATTCCACAAAATAGAAACAGAAAGAACATTACCAAACTCATTGTATGAAGCCACAGTCACCTTGGTACTGAAACCTCACAAAGACCCAACAAAGAAAGAGAATTTCAGGCCAATCTCCCTTATGAACATTGATGCAAAAATACTCAACAAAATACTTGCAAACCGAATACAAGAACACATCAAAGATATCATCCACTACAACCAAGTAGGCTTCATCCCAGGCATGCAGGGGTGGTTCAATATACAGAAATCAATCAGTGTGATCCACCATATAAACAAAAGGAAGGAGAAAAACCACATGATCATCTCCTTAGATGCTGAAAAAGCATTTGACAAAATCCAACATCCATTCATGTTTAAAGTATTGGAGACATCAGGGATACAAGGCACATACCTAAACATGATAAAGGCAATGTACAGCAAGTCTATAGCCAACATCAAACTAAACGGAGACAATCTTAAATCAGTCCCACTGAAATCAGGGACAAGGCAAGGCTGCCCATTCTCTCCATATCTCTTCAACATAGTTCTAGAAGTCCTTGCTAGAGCAAAAAGACAATTGAAGGTGATCAAAGGAGATTCAGTTTGGAAAGGAAGAAGTCAAAGTATCACTATTTGCAGATGATATGATACTATACCTGAGTGACCCCATAAATTCTACCAGGGAACTCCTACAGCTGATAAACACCTTCAGCAAAGTGGCTGAATACAAAATTAACTTAAAAAATCAGTAGCTTCCCTGTATACAAAAGACGAAAGGGCTGAGAAAGAAATTAGGGAAACAAAACCCTTCACAATAGCCACAGAAGACATAAAGTACCTTGGTGTGACCCTAATCAAGCAAGTCAAAGATTTGTATGAAAAAAATTTCAAGTCTCTGAAGGAAGAATTAGAAGAAGATATCAGAAGATGAAAAGATCTCCCATGCTCATGGATTGGCAGGATTAACATAGTAAAAATGGACATCTTACCAAAAGCAATCTACAGATTCAATGCAATTCCCATCAAATTACCAACACAATTCTTTACAGACCTGGAAAGAAAAATTCTCAACTTCATATGGAATAACAAAAACCCAGAATTGCTAAAACATTCCTCTACAATAAACGATCTTCTGGAGGTATCTCCATCCCTGATCATAAGTTGTACTATAGAGCAACAGTTATAAAAACTGCATGGTACTGGCATAGAAACAGAATGGTGGATCAATGGAACCGAAGAGAAGACCCAGAAATAAACACACACACATTTATGGACACCTGATTTTTTACAAAGATGCCAAAACCATACAATGGAAAAAAAAATAGCATCTTCAACAAATGGTGCTAGTCTAACTGGATGTCTACATGTAGAAAAATGCAAATAGATTCATACTTACCACCCTGCACAAAACTAAAATCCAAGTAGATCAAAGACTTCAACGTAAAACCAGACACATTAAATCATTTAGAAGAAAAAGTGTGGAATACCCTTGAACTCACTGGCACAGGAGACAACTTCCTGAACAGAACACCAACAGGACAGGTTCTCAGAGCAACAATCAGTAAATTGGACCTTATGAAATTGAAAACTTCTGTAAAGCAAAGGACACTGTAGTCAGAACAAAATGACTGCCTACAGACTGGGAAAGAATCTTCACCATCCCTCTATCTGACAAAGGGCTAATATCCAGTATATATAAAAAACTAAAGAAGATGAAAAGCAGCAAACCAAGTAATCTAATTAAAAAATGGGGAACAGTGCTAAACAGAGAATTCTCTGTAGAGGAATATTGAATGGCAGAGAAACACTTAAAAAATGTTCATCGTCATTTGCCATCAGGGAAATGCAAATCAAAACGACCCTGAGATTTCACCTTACACCCATCAGAATGGCCACATCAAAAACTCAAGTGACAACACATGCTGGAGAGGTTGTGGAGAAAGGGGGACCCTCCTCCACTGCTGGTGGGAATGTAAACTTGTACAATCACTCTGGAAATCAATCTGGCGCTTTCTCAGACAACTAAGAATAGCTGTTCCTCAAGATCCAGTTATACCACTCCTAGGCATATATCCAAAAGAGGCTCAAGTAGAAATAAGGACATTTGCTCAACCATGTTTGTAGCAGCTTTATTTGTAATAGCTAGAAGCTGGAAACAACACAGATGTCCCTCAGCCGAGGAATGGATACAGAAATTGTGGTACATCTATACAATGGAATATTACTCAGCGATAAAAAAAAAAAGGAAATCATGAAATTTGTAGGTAAATGGTGGGATCTGGAAAAGATCATCTTGAGTGAGCTATCTCAGAAGCATAAAGATGCACATGGTATATACGGTATATACTCACTCATATAGACATATAATATAGGATAAACCTACTAAAATCTGCACACCTAAATAAAATAATCAAGAGGGAGGACTCTGGCTAAAATGCTCAATCCCATCCAGAAAGGCTAAGAGGATGAACATCAGAAGAAGAAGAAAACAGGAAACAAGTTAGGAGTCTGCCACAGAGGGCCTCTGAAAGGCTCTGCCCTGCAAACTATCAAAGCAGATGCTGAGACTTATGGTCAACTGTTGGGCAGTGTGCATGAAAGCTTATGTAAGAAGTGGGAAATAGTAAGATCTGGAGAGGACAGGAACTCCACAAGGAGAGCAACAGAACAAGAACATCTGAGCACAGGGGTCTTTCCTGAGACTCATACCCCAACCAAGTACCATGCATGGAGATAACCTAGAACCTCTGCACGGATGTAGCCCATGGCAGTTCAGTGTCCAAGTGGGTTCCATAGTAATGGGAAGAGGGACTGCCTCTGACATAATCTGATTGGCCTGATCTTTGATCACCTCCCCCTGAGAGGGTAGCAGCCTTACCAGGCTACAGAGGAAGACAATGCAGCGACTTCTGATGTGATCTGATAGACTAAGATCAGATGGAAGGAGAGGAAGACCTCCCCTATCAGTGGACTTGGGGAGGGGCATGGGTGGAGAAGGGGGAGGGAAGGTGGGATTAGGAGGGGAGGAGGGATGGTTTTATTGGCGGATTACAAAGTGAATAAAGTGTAATTAATAAAAATTTAAAAAACGAACAGGCCAGAGGAGTCGAGAGGAACAGACCAGAAGGGCAGTGCCAGCACACTATTTTGTGTACAG